TGAGGCCTATAATAGTTCAAAAATTTACAAGGCAATGATTAAAGCATTTCATGATAAACATATTGTGAAAAAGTCCTTTGAGCCTGGGCAAAAAACATAGCTTTTCAACTCTAAACTCAAATTCTTTCCTGGAAAGCTTCAAACTAAATGGGAAGGCCCTTATCTAATCATCTCCGTCTCACCTCATGGGGCGGTTGAACTTCAAAATTTAAAAGATGAAAGGACCTTCAAAGTAAATACAAAGGCTTAAACCATTCATTGATGGATAAGCTCTTCAAAGAAATGTGGAATCCGCCCTCCTGGTGGATCCCATTTACTTTGAAGATTAAGAGCATTTCACATCTTTCTAGCGACGTTAAACACTAGTTGTATTAAGTTCATCCTTCATTCTAAAATAAAAATAATGAATATATATATATATATATATATATATATATATATATATATTTGCGTGTAAGTACGAGGTGTCGGGCGATCATTTGCCCGACCTTGGGCGACCATCGCCCGAAAAATAAATAAATAAATAATTTTCTTTGCATTCTTTATTTCATTGCATTTTTTTATTTCTTTACATTTTATTGTTGTTTATGTACGTACATGTTATGTTTTTTTAAAAACAATTAAAAAAAAAAAAAAACAGTTGTTTAAAGTTACATTCCCTTGTATAGTGTATGTTTACTTTCCTTTTCATTTTTTATTTTTCTTTCATTTTGTTTCTTTACATGCTTTCATAAAAAGATAAATAAAAAAAAAAATGTTTTTTTTTTTTGTTTTTTTTTCCATTGTGCACTTCTACATAGTTGTACATGTTTTCATTCTTACTAAGGGTTTCATCTCATATCTCTTTGTATCGTGTTATATATTGTTTTGGACTATATGTATTGTTTATCCCATGTGATATTTAATGTGAGTTTGCTAGTATGATTATACAGCTAGATTTTTTCATCCAAGTTTGGGAAAGACATCTTTCCTACTGGATCATTGCCGAACTTCATAGTCTTTGCCATCACGGTATACTCTTTCCATCATTTTTCATTGTTCTCATTGCATATTGAGGATAATGTACAGTTTAAGTTTGGGGGTAAGGTCATCATGATTCATTCTATTTTAAGTTAAGCCTTAAATGCATGATGAGATTTGAGATGTGTTTAGCAATGATTCGAACTTTTGAAGCATAGTACCTTTGAAAAGTAAGTTGTTAGAGTCTAATACTTCTTGTATGCTTTAGGATACCATTTAGGGGTAAATTTTAATTTTTGACATTATGTTTGCTTTTGTGGTACACATCATCTTGTTGGTTGAAAATACTTTGAGAGTTGATTCTAGAATTCTACACTTGCACTTGTGCACACTAGCATTCAATTTGTGGGGTACATACTTAGTTGATTATTGTTTTGATTTATCCCAATTGAGCTAGTATGCTTTAAAAACTTTCATTCTTAATAAAATGACCTTGCAAAGAAAAGAAATAAAAGCACTCACCAAAGGTGAGCAAAATCACTCGCCAAAGGTGAGAAATAGAAATAGAAATAGAAATAGGATAACAAAATAAATAAATAAATAAAAAGAAAAAGAAAAAAAGAAAAGCATTCAACAAAGGTGGAAAAAAAAATGAAAAATGAAAAAAAAAATGAAATCAATTAAAAAAAAATGTTTGATTGAATAACAAGGTTCATTGAATGTCTTGATGTCTGGTATTATATCTGTATACTAGTTTGAGGGTAAGGTTGTGCCATTACTTTGATTTGCTATGATAGCAACACATTTTGATGCCAGTTCACTTAAAAAGAATGAGAGAATTGATTCAATTTATATGATTAATTGCTTGATGTGTAGAGGACCATTCTTGCTTATATGATGTTGAAATATTGAGAATAGCTTAGAAATGGCAGAAATTTGCATACTTGAAGTACTCTACTTTCAACACTTGTTTGATATGTGTTGTTACTTCTCAAGTAAGAAAGAGCTATTGATGTTTATGGGCACTATTTCTAGAAACCCTCACGAGACTTCACTCGTCCACTAGGGGTAACCTAGGGGTTGAAAAAGCTTGTTGCATATGCTAAATGCAATCGTGATCCCTACGAAAGTGCTGTTATCTTTATTTGCTTTATTAGTTCATAGTTGTTTATATGTTTGTTTCATTTTCATACTGTAGTTCATTGCAAGGGACAAGCAATATCTAAGTTTGGGGGCGTGATAAGTGCTTAAATGTTGCACATTTCAGCACCTAAGTTAGGGTATTTTAGTCTGTGCATTTATCTTATTTTTATATTTTAGTCCTAATTTATGTTTATGTGTATTTTAGGGCAATAAAGTTCAAACAGGTTTAAAGCAGTCCATTACCGCATTTTTGGAAACAATCAGAAAGTTCCAGAACATTTTAGAAGAAATCAGAAAAATGCCAAGGATGCAGCAGAATACACTGCGTCTGGACACCAAAAGCTGCGTCTGGACGCTATGTTGCTGGCAACAATTTAAGTTACGAGTTGGACCTGTTTTGATGGCTACAGGATTTTGTCTTTTGGGCTTATTTTTGTAACTGATGGTCTTTAATAGGGCTTGTTACTTAAGGGCCCAGTGAACCATTAGTTTAGGGTTAGTTATTATTTTATTTAGGTTAGTTTTTATTATTATATTATTAAGTTTTATTTTTTGATATATCGATATTCTCTCTAGAAAACGCGAAAAAGAAGAAACAGAAGAACGGACTAGGGTTTGGAAGAAAAAGCTCAGAAATGATCAATCTAAGGATGGAGATTATTCTGTCTTCAACTCCATTAACCATGAGTGGCTTATTCTTCTACTTAGGGTTGGATAAACCCTAAGCATGTAACCTAACTTCTCTATCTTTTACTATTTTGGGGATGTAAATTGTGTAATTTTTGTATAGACTTTGAATGTTATTGAATAAATTCTTCCAATTGGTTATCAATGATAAATTCATGTTGTCTTCTGTGTTTTTTATTGTTAATCAACCTTTACACTTGATTTCTCTGTGAATTGAATCTTGTGATGTCTATGCATGTTGATAATTAGTTGTAGTTGTGCTTCAATTTGATGGAAATTGCTTTTACTTGATGGATGGTACTACATAATTAGGTTAATTCATTGTCTGATTAATGGTTTAAGTTCATGTTTAATTAGTTTAATTTAAGTTTAATTAGTTTAATTGCATTTTAATTATTAGGTAAGTAGACCATCCATACTTGTGTTTGAATTCCAATCTCTTTGTCACAATTGCATTACCTTCTTGATTGATATATGTTAACATTTTAACTTGAATTGATGAGTCACGCTTTAGATTGATGAATTATACTACACCTAGTTTAATTGTCATTGAGTAGGTAATTTAAGCTTGAAATTGATGATTCATACCTTTCTTTGCAAATGTTAGCTACATTTAGGCCTGATCACGATTCGGATCGGTTCGGTTTGGGGATAAATCCCAAGCCGAACCGGTTCCCACAGATTGGTTAAAACTGAAACCGAATCGATCCGTGGGGATATTCAATCCGAACCAAACCGATCCGTGAGTTAACGGATCGGATCGGATCGGTTCCCCGGATTGGGCTGATTGGGCCTTTTCAAACAGCCCATTCAATTATGGCCCAGATCGGATCAGTTCCTCGGATTGGACTGATTGGGCTTTTCAAACAGCCCATTCAATTATAGCCCATTATCAAAATTTATGTATTCAATCTGCAACAAGATTTATAACAGGCCATTCAATTATAACAATTATAACAGCCCATTCAATTATAACAATTATAACAGCAATAGATTTACTAAAATTTCAAAATATATTTGGCACATATAAATACCACCACAAACTTAAATTACCTAATAACAAAAAAAATATATATAAATCATCCGGAAGTGAAAATAATATTACAGTACCAAATATAAATTATCCAAATAGAACAAAACAAAATACTTAAATAGTAGCCCAGTAGCTCACTAGCATAAATAAATAAATAAATAATAGCACAATAAAACATCAAACAACAGTCTTGACTAGCAGCAAAACAACTCTGAAAATGGCAGCAAGCAAGGCTAGCTTTAAATCTAAATCTGAAACCGTAGTCACATCTACAAAATAACATAATTTAATTAAAAATCCACAATATGATATTTATTTATAAATTGAATAAAAATGTAACAAATTGTTAACATTTACTAGAGTCGTATTGTTCAAGTTCGTCCAACTTTTCTTCAACATCAATTGGTATTGGTGAAGCCCGTAACCAATCTTGTGTACAAATTAAGCATTCCACAAGCTTTGGAGTTAAAGAACTACGGAATTGATCAAGCACACGACCTCCAGTGCTAAAAGCGAACTCTGAAGCAACAGTAGAGACTGGAACAGCTAGAATATCTCTTGCAATTTCAGAAAGTATTTTATACCTACTTCCGTTCACCTTCCACCAATTCAAGATGTCAAATTCTGGAACAACATCTTCACAAGCTTCCTCCAAATATTTTTCCACTTCCGACTTAGGAGTAGAACTTTCTTTTTGTATCTTGCGCTTCTTGTACAAAGAGGAAAAATCATCTTCTACATTTCCATCATCAACTCCCACCTCATTTGCAATATTACTTGTTCCACTAGAGCTTTAAGTAAATGCATGAAACTTTGCATATTCACTAAAAATGCGGTTGAATGTATCCATTACCTTCTTCCTAAGGTTTTCAACCATTTCAAGAGAATAAAGTTGGGAATAGCCAAATTCCATAAATTCCAATTTATAACGAGGATCCAACACAACCGCAAGCACCACCAACATGTTCACTTTTTCAATGCTTCCCCAATATTTGTCAAATTTAATTTTCATTTTTGATGCCATATTACTTAACCAAATATCGGAACTCTTTGACCACGTATTTAACAACTTTTCAATTCCTAACACTTCATGAAAATATCTATTGGAAGTAACATACAAAGATCTGGAAAGCTTGTTAGTGGCGTCATAAAATATTTTTAAAAAAAAAATCAAAACTCAAGCATATTCCCAATCAGTACTAGAAGGAGCTTTATTATTAACTTCCGGTAGGAATTGAATATCATCATCTTCTAACCTTTTAAAAGCCTTTTGAAACTTTACGGCCACCTCTAACATAAGGTATGTGGAATTCCATCTAGTTGAAACATCTAGGCACAAATGTGACTTAAATGTTATATTCTCCCTCTTCACACATGCTTGAAAACGCTCTCCCCGTTGTGGAGAACTCCTAACATACTTCACAGCCTCACAAATTCGAACTATTGAACCATTTACATCACTCAAACCATCTTTCACAATCAAATTCAATATATGTGCACAACACCTCATATGAAAACATTCACCACCTAAAAGGAAAGAGCCAACATTCCTAGCAAGCTTCTTTTCTTTCAAATATGCAACCGCAAGATCATTTGAACTAGCATTATCAACCGTGAATGTACACAATTTGTCTATACCCCAATCAAGCAAACAAGTCTCAACTGCACGACCAATTTCCTTACCCTTGTGACTAGGTATTATACAAAAATTCAGAATTCTTTTGTGTAAGGTCCAATTCTTATCAAAGAAATGAGCCGTGAGACACATATAAGAAAGATTTTGAATTGACGTCCATATATCAGTGGTGAAACAAATTCTTTGATTGAGTTGATTCACTAAGGTTTTCAACCTCTTCTTTTCTATAGCATACAATTTCAAACAGTCCCTAACCACAGTAAAACGTGACAACAATTTGAATTTTGGCTGCAAGACACTAAGAAAATAACAAAAACCTTCACGTTCAACAAACTTGAAAGGTAATTCATCAATGATAATCATTTTAGTAAGTGCTTGTCTACACAACTCCTGATCAAATTTCCAAGAAACCATAACACCTTCTCCTTCAGTAGTTGACTGAAACGAAATGAGTTTTTGTTTCTTGTTAACATTAAATGGATATTGTTGGCATCTACTTATGTGGTTCCTCAATGTACTTGTCCTATTTCCACTAGACCATGAATAAGATGCACTACAATAGTTGCATTTCACATTATAATTTAACTTAGTACAGTTAGGGCCTTTCTCTTTTGTGAAATGGTCCCAAACATCAGATATGAAACTGTTTTTGGTAGCACATACCTGCGTGTTTAAATCATCATCATTGGTGCCAACAACAGTAACTTCAGGCCTTGGAACATTAGAATTTTCTGCAGTTGTCATCTGCCAGGAAAAAAAATTGTTACAAAAAATTAGTGGAAGATTGCCATAAAGTAATTATAATCTACTGATGAAACAAAAGTACTTGATGATGCAGTTCCTTTAGAAGTATCAGTCAAATATTAAAATGTGAAAGATGAAAGGAACTGGATGAAATAAAGGACAAATTGAGTTTAATTAGTTCTGTCAAATGAAAATACTGTAGTATCACAATCTTACACATTTAGTTAAAAGGATTTATTTGAGTTATAAATAGGTGGTGGGTCAAAGTCCAACATTTCTACATATTTAAAAACACATATATAATCAATGGCTACTATTTTTTCTTGATTGTGAAACACAGAGAATTCCCACGAAAAAAAAGTGATAGAAAATAAAAATTACAATAATTTACTTCATACCAAATAGTACTTAATTCATCCAAATATTAATATATATGAAACATAGTTGTCATTCTCAGACAGATTTCCCAGTAACACTTTGACAGCTTCACAAATTAAGAATAGAGATGAACAAAATCAACCAAGAACTTATTTCCCAAAGCTGAAAAAAATCCCAAATCAAAGATGGATCAAATCCTTCTTTTCTGCAACACTTGGAACATTCTTGGCTCCTTATTTTTTTATTGTTTTTTTCTAAATAAAACAGAGAACAGTCAAATACTAAAGTATTCTCGAATAGCCAAAAACATCAGGCATCAGGAAGACATCCAGAGACAAGGACCAAAGGATGAAAAAATGGGAAAAAAAAGATATGTGACTAAAAATCAAAGGCATGAAGAACAGAAGAAGACATCTAGAAACAAAAAATGGAAAAAGAAAAAAAAAAAAAAAAAAAGAAGGATAAATATAAATCTAAAGTTCAAACAATCACATATTAAGTAGATCCATGTAAAAGCTGTTCAGAGAAGAGGAGAATAAGTAGATTCATTCAAAAATCTTGTGAACTCACCGGAAAAGAGGTAGATCCAGTCGAAAAGGTCGCCTTTGCTTCGATACACCGAGGTCTCCGTTGCTTCGAATCAAGTGAACGATGGTTGAAAGGTGTTGGATTGAGAGACGAGAGATTAGGAGGTGAGAGACTGGGAGAGGCGAAGGGGGTGAAGAGAAGAGGCTCACTGGCTGAGTTAGTGAGGGAGGCGCAACTTGAAATGTCGTAATGAAGAGATGAGGCTGAGACGCTGAGTTAGGATTAGGTTAACATTAAAAAATAATGAATAAAGAAAAAAAAAGAAAAAATAAAAATGATATATCATTATATTGTATATATATATAATATATTAATATATTACTTACTAACGGTTAACGGTTCGGATTGACAACAGTTCGGTTCAGATCGGTTAATGGTTCGGTTCGGATCGGTTAACGGTTCGGATCGGATTTCTCAGGGTCCAATCCGTTAACCGAACCGCGGACACTGGAGTGCAGATTTTCAAACCATCACCGAACCATGAGATCTGAAAACCGAACAAAACCACACGGATCGGATTGGTTCGGACCGGATTGACGGATTATTTGCTCACCCCTAGCTACATTAGAATTACATTTAATTATTTCCCCAATTAGTGAAAGTTAGTGAGTTAGGGAATGTGCTTAGTGGTGAATCCTACACCCTGAGTCTCTTTCCAATCTTTTAAACTCCATTATTTTATTGTAGTCACTTAAGTTAAATTAGTTCTAACATTTTCAGCAATCACATAAGCAGTAAAGTTGAATTCAATTCTAAAAATCTATAATTGTTTAGATCTCTTGCGACAATCCCTGCTCACTTCATACTCCATAGTATAAGTGTTTAGTGGTTTAAAAATTATAAAATATGATGCCCATTTGACATTATTTCTAAACCTAAAGTGTTGTGCATTATTTTGTGCACACGCTTGGTCGCATCAATAGGCTACCAAAGTGGTCATAAATCGCACATAAGGCTCATCATTTGAGTGTACCACGAGCTGACCTTTAAACATAAACGTTGCAATTTTATGGCACGTATCCGATCGATCAGATTCTGAACAATGATCCGAACAGTAATTCGGGTAATCAGATTCTGAACAATGATCCGATTGGTAATCTGAGCGATCGGATTTTCTTAACTTTGACTTTTAATCTTCTCTTCAATTCCTTCCCAAAGCTTGGCATCTATAGATTTTTAAAGTGCTGGAATTAAACTTGTTGGATCTCAAGTACCTGAAATGGAGAATAAAACAAATCAAGATTAAAACGCAAAAGTAAAGAAGGATTAAGGTGCTAACGAATGCAAGAGTGAGGGTTGAATTGTGCATATTTTAGCACTTATCACACCCCTAAACTTACATATTGTTTATCCCTTAACAATAAACAAAAGAAACAAATTGAATGCAACAACTATTTAACTAAAATCAACAACTAGATAACTCCGTATTCGTAGGGATCATGGTTGCATTTAGCATATGCAGCAAGCCTTTTAAACCCCTAGGTTACCCCTAGTGGACGAGTGAAATCTCGTGGGGTTTTCCAGAAATGACATCCACAAACATCAAAGGCTCATCATCACTAATGAGCTTTAAAACACATCTTAACAATCATTAAGAGAATACTACCTCAAGTATGCAAATTTCAACCATTTTTAAGCTATTCTCAATATTTGTACATTATGCAAGCAAATATGGTCCCCACATGTCAAACAAGTTAACCATGCTTATCAAAAATCAATCCTAACATCCTTTTTGAGTGAACCGACATCTAACTATGTTGCTAATTTAGCATAATCAATGCAACGATCAAAATCCAGCCTCAAACTAGCACGCATCTCAAATATCAATCATAAAGACTATAAATAAACCTTTTATTCATTTTTTTTTTTTTTACATCAGGATCACAAATGAGAGCATAGTGCAATGTAAATATCTCTTAAGCTCTCTAGAAGACTCGTGTAACGAGCGTAGGGTTAATGACTCCCAAATCGAACGGCTTTAGGGCATTAGGTGTCAAGATACCCCTAAGGACTTAAGAGCTTAACTTAACTAGGCTACTGTAGGTCTATAAGATTGATCAAAACTCATCCCTAACCTTTTTCCAACATAGACCATCATGCTAAACAACCCATATATGAAATCATACACGTGACTACATCAAATTAACACCATCCATACATCTCAAAATGATGAAATTGTGTCCAAAATAATAAGATTACAAAACAAGGCCTCCGTGGCCACAAATACAACGATTTCACTTGAAACTGGTAAAAGAATAAGATCATTACATATAGTCTGTCTTTACAGAAGATACAAAAATGGTCAACAAACTACGTCTAAACTTGTGGGGGTGCATCATCTACAACATCATTGTTATGTTCTGAAAATGTTAGAATATAGGGTGAGCACAATGACTCAATAAAGATAGCCTAAAGTACACTTCATGTAATCATGTGAATCACACCCAAAGCAAAGGAGAACAAGATGAGGGATCATACAATGGGGAAAGAGACAATAATATAACATAAGTTTAAACTCTATGCTTTGCAAATGATAAAATTTGATGCAAAAAAATGCATTTTCCCCATTTCTGAAACAATTTTCATCACAACACAACCCACACTGAAATGTTAACCAAACCCGACCGTGGGCAACTTCTAAGCGTCACGAAGGGAATTGGCTAGCTATCCCTGACATAGGGTATCTCCCTAGCATCATTTGGGGCCTAGGTAGCTCAACTATACACGTCCAAATTCCATCTCGTGCCCCCTTCTAAATTGGTTAACCCCAGACCACATGGCAACTCCAAGAAGTCCATTTTTACAAAACCTTTTAAAAAACCTTTCAAGTTTTCAAATCAACTTTAGAAATCTTTGGAAACCATTTTAAATATCTTTTTCAACCCATAAACCCAACTAATGTCCATGATATGCATACTATACAATCAATCACTTGCATTTTTCAAGGAAATCAACATATAACATCATCATAATAGCATGCTTTGAATCAAATACGTCAAATCATCACATTCATAACATGAATTATGTAAGGTACAATCATCTCAAGAACTTCAAATTGCAAATAACACACCTTCACCTATATTATGTTTTTCAACAAATACACATAATAGAAAACTCACAAAGATCAAAGACATTGTAGTTTAGACTTCCCTACCTCAAAATATGAAAACCAAGGTCAATATCCAAACCCAAAATTCCACCAAAATTATGCAAGATTGATGTCAAAACATTCCCCTTGCCGAGCTCTACAACTCTCCTAGCTATGGCTCCTTTCAAATCTCACTCGTGGATGCAAGATCTTAAAGAGAAGGTGAAAAAAAAAAAAAAAAAAAAAAATTGGAGAAGAGAGAGAATGTGTCGAAAGAGAGAGAGAGATAATGGGTGATGTGTGGTGCAAGGCTTATTCTTAGCCTTTCAAAATGTGTGGTCCTTGTTGGTCCTCCCTTTTGACTAGCCTAGTACTAAAATAGCCCCTCCTCCAACACAAACTACATACACATGCCACAAAATATCCTCTTCCACTAACCCACATATATAGATAAAACACCTCAATCTCCCAATAAATAAATAAACATGTGCAATAAAATAACCGGGTCCTACATGGCGAGTAAAATAATTTTCGAAAGATAAATAAATAAAATTCGTAAAAATCCGAGGCATTACAGCTACAAATCAAGAAAACTCTCACTTCTCATTTCCCAGACATTTCACCTTTTGACGCGATAGTTCAATATTTAATGAGGCAAGAATCCCGATTGCTTGGTAAAAAGGCTTGTTATTCAACATGCAAGGTCATTATGTCAAATATGATGATTTCTCAAAGTTTACTAGTTCAACTTGGGATAAAACCAAAACAATGATCATCTAAGCATATACCCCACAAGATAAATGCTAGTGTGCGTCTGTGCAAGTGTAATATTTTATAATCAATTCTCAAGGCATGTTCAACAAATAAGATGATGTGGAACACAAAAACAAGCATGATATAAAAAAATAAAAATAATAAATTTTCCCTAAATGACATCCATAAGCATATAAGAAGTATGAGGCTCTCAAAACTTGCAATGACATGACATTCACGCTCAAGAGATCGAAATCATATATAGCTCAAAATAATAGGTAGAGTGTTTGATCTTTATTATTTTAACCTCCCTTAAGATTTGACACGTATGCTCAACAAAAGAGCAAAAAAACTATTTAGTTGTTCTTTCCTTGGGTTAAAAGACGTTAATAACCTTATATTTTGACATGAAATTACAAAAAAAAAAAAAAAAAAAAAAACTAGAGAAATGCCATTGAAATGCAAAGTATCAATTTTCATACTAATTTTATATTACTAAATTATATATATATATATATATTTGTTAACGGCATTTTATTAAGTTTTTTTAGGGTATGATTAGGTTTATTTATTTCTTTCTTTTTTTAAAGGTTGGATAACATAATGTCTACAAAATGTGGGAAAAAATGAAAGGGTAATAGAGTCTTTTGGTTTGACATAATTTTTTTTACTAAACTATTATTAAATTAGATAAGGGTATGGCAGGTCAAAATAATAAAGGTCAAATGCTCTATGAGTTTGTAAGTTGCCCAAACTTCCAGGAGGTCATTGTAATTTATCCTATAAAATATTCTATTGACAAAATTAACTATAATTAATGTTAGGGTAGTCAGAGAAATTTGGACAAACTTCAAGTGGTGTTAGGGGCTATTTTGACAATAGTTTCAACTATGAGATATTTGACCTTAGGGAAGGTCGGGTATTTCACCCTTAAAAAAAGGCATATTTACTTTGATTAGTAGACATTGGTAGACGAATATATAAAATTAATGACGCTGCTTATAATTTAGGGGAAAGTACAGAAAACCCCCATCGACTTGTAACATTTTTCAGTAAACCCCATTTTCTATTTTTTTACCAAAAAAACCTCCCTGGACTTGTAACCTTTTTTCCAATAAATCTTCTTATCTAATTTGTTACCAAAGAACCCCCCTCAACTATCTGAAGGGGGTAAAAGAGTTGATATTTGGACCAAAATGCCTTTTTATTTAAATCTTAATTCTTTCAAACTTCAAAAATTCATATCCACAAATCATACATTTAAAAATTGTAAATAATATGTGCACGGAAAGCTTATGAAATAAAGATTCCAAAAATATAAGATTTGTGCAACAAACCTTCCTAACCAGAAAGAAATAGGCAATCTAAAAGTCTACTCCAATAATTTAATTTTATTTTTTTTAAAATAAAATACTCGAGATATTTGCAAGAAAATTTTCAGAATTATTCATTTACATATGAAACCAAATATATATAAAAAATTAGCCCCAATAGAGATCGTTTTCATAAGATATCATATTTTACGTCAATGTATTTTCATTTTTTTATAGACTCACCATTTAAAAATAAATAAAAATGAATATTCGGTCTCTATTGGGGCTAATTTTTTTTATATTTTATGCTCTATATGAAAATGAATAATTTTGAAAATTTTATTGTAAATAACCCAATAAAAAAATAAAATAAAATAAGATTGTTACAGTAAATTTTTAGAATGTCTGTTTCTTTCTGGTTATGAAGCTTTGTTAAGCAAATCTTATATTACTGGAATCCTTGTTTTATAAGCTTTCAGTACATATATTATTTGCAATATTTGGATGTACTGTTTGTGAGATATTAATTTTTAAAATTTGAAAAAATTAAGATCTAAATAAAAGGGCATTTTGGTTCAAATATCAACTATTTTACCCCCTTTAAATAGTTGAGGGGGGTTCTTTAGTAAAAAATTAGACAAGAGAGATTTATTGGAAAGAGTTACAAGTTGAGGGAGATTATTTGGTAAAAAATTTAGACGAGGGATTTACTGAAAAAAGCTATAATTTCATGCAACTGAACATAGCCGAGGGTTTTTTCAACTAAAAAGACCAAATATGCGAACCATTTTTATTTTTTTTGGGTAAATTCATCAGGTTCCTAGTCCCACTCAAATTATACGCTAAACAATAAAAAAATAATTGGAATTTAAAATTATCCAAGTCTTCATTAATACATCACAAATTGAAAAATTGGCCGTGACTTGTATGTATAAGTTTTTTAAAAAGAAATTAAGAAATTAAGAAATTGAGGTGGATTTTCTGTACTTTGTCCTATAATTTATTAACATTAAAGGAATAAATAAAACCCCTTTGACTATTCAGGTTAATTTGATAAATCGGTTCAAGAATTATTTTTTTTTAATTTGACTTAAAATTATGGGCCCATTATCGACTATTTGATCAAAATATTTAAGTTATTAAATGATATTGTCTAACTATCTTATAAGTTCAAGACACCTAAACTTCTGAGTTCCCACACTTATAAGCCAAAAGACCTTTTCCCTTTGAATTTTATGTAGAACAAGAATACTCTAAGGCCTAATTTGGTACGCATGAATGAAATTAAATAAAATGAGAATGTAATGAAATGGTCATTCTCATAATCTTGTTTGGTTACAAATATGAAATGTTATTGAAATAAATTGATAATCACAATTCTAAGTGATGATGTTCGAAGGTGATGGTGGTTGCAGAAGGCAGTGGAAAAATGGTGGCGGCGGCGGAAGGTGGTGGTGGTGGTGGTGGTGGTGGTGGCGGCTGAAGGTAGTGACGGCGATGAAAGGTGGTAGCAGTGGTGGTGGTGGAAAAAGGTGGTAGCAGAAAACAACAGTGGCGGTGGAGGCTACGGTGGTGGCGAAATGTACCAACGATACAATGCGGTGACGAAAGAAGACGTTAGTGACGATGACAGTAGTAGAAGGCGATAGTGGTGGAAGGCAATGATTGTGATCCAGGAAAAAGGTGGCAATAGTTACAGTGACGGATTGTGAAAGGGTTGTGGTGGCTAAGAATTTAATTACTCATTCCATCCATATAGAAATGAAATTCATTACTCATTTTATCGGTTTAAAAATGGAATAAATTTTCATTTAAAGGGAATTGTTATTCTAATTTTAAATATGCTATCAAATAAGGCTATATTTGGTGTGAGTGAATGGAATTAAATGAAGGTGGAATGGAATGCATTTGTTTCCATCTTCTTGTTTGGTGTGTCACATTAAAAGTGAAATGGCCATTCCTAGGGAATGCCCATTCCACTTCTTGAGAGGTGGAATGACCATTCCATTCCCACTAAGAATTAATAAAATAATAAAATAATTTAAAGAGGTAATTCACGCATACACACACACTATATATATATATATATAATATGTATTTATATGCTGTTTGTTCCCTCTCTCTCTATCTCGTTTATTTTTCTCTCTCTATTATCTCTTTCCCTTTTATTTTTGCAAATTAATTTTTTTAGTTAATTTTTTTTACTAATAATAAAATATAATCTAAAAAAATAATATAAATTCATTCTATTCTAACTTTTTTACCAAACATAGGAATGAGAATGAGATTTCATTTTTACACATTTTATGTTTATGAGCAAACATTCTCATTCTATTCCAACCTCTATTTTCATTCCATTCCAATTCATTCCGTCCTACCAAACATGCTAACATGCTAGGTGATTGAAAGGAAATGCTCTTTAGTCTTTCCATAATGTATTGTAATCGTCATGAAATAGAGAATTGATACACGTGTTGATGAATTATGAATGTTCTTATAAAGTCCACCATTAAAAAAAATACATAAATTGTAATGAATTTTCAGAATCCTTATTAGATACGCCCTTTGAAGAGTGATTTTACCATGCTCTCCTCAGAGACAAGTCAGTCTGACATCGCGTCAATTGCAGAAAAATCAATCTGACCGTTCATTTGAATTCCAACGGTTCGGATCGTTTTAAGTCCATAAACACAATTAAATACACTAGAGAACCACACCAAAAATAGGGTAAAAGTTAGATAGAGAGAGAGAGACAACTGAGAAAGGGAGAGAGAGACGCTCTGAATACATGAGAAAAAGAAGACGACGAAGAGGAAGAAGATAACACTGAAAAGTGGCGATTCTGATTTTTGGAGGGAGAAAATTCTAACAAAACCCACCCTCGATTCTTTCATTTTCGAGAAATTAAGCGAAAAAGCTCTCATCTTTCCCACTTTCGTTGCTCTGCAAACACAGTTTCTCTCTCGTAATCTCTCCCCCCCCCCCCCCCCTTTCTTTCTCTACATTTTCCTTTCTCCGGTTGCTCTTGCGTTAATGGGTCTTTGTAATTTTGTTGAAATGCAGGCGATTTTGGTGAATTTGAATCATTTGATGTTCTATTTTGCTTAGATCTTGAGGTTGGTCTATATCTTTTGTTTTTCCTCTGTATATTGTTACATACTAATATACTTTCTCGCTATTTCCGTTTGGTTTCCGTGAAAAGTCCCAAATGGGTGTCTAAACGTGTGGTTTAGCTTTGTTTGCAGAGAGAGAAGAGATATGGATAAGTTACAGTGGGGAAACCGAAAGCGTTTGCGATGTGTGAAGGTCAAAGACTCAGTTTTGACAGAGAAATCAGACGGCGGTGGTGTTATTATGAGGAAGAAAATCACTTCTCGTGTTGATCGACATGTGGTTGCCACTTCAGATATTAAGGAAGCCCTTCCTCGTCCTCTGCAATCCCCCAATCGTCTCTGCAGGTAAGATAACAAAAAGCCAGGAATTTTTTTGGGCGAGAAATTGTATCCCATTATTGTGATTTAACACTGTTTGGCTGTCAAGAAATGCAGGAAAAAGATAAGGTAAACCTGAGCTTTGATTGATGGTTTTTTTTAAGAGTGAGATGTAGTTAGATTTCTAGTTTTCGCAGCAACCAAAACGGAGAGTTAGAGGGGATTTATGGGGAAAAAATTGTATCTTTTATGTGGGTATTCTTTGTTTGCTCAGAAAATATAGGAATACGGTAATTTGGTTGGGGTTGGGACGGTTGTTGTTGGATTACTAGGTTTATCAGATGCCAAATGGAGAGTTGTAGAATTAGTTGGAATTAATTAGGTTTTGACAAAGGAATCTTTTGGTTGCTGAAAAAAAGATTAGGTTTATCAGATGCTGTTTGGTTGCTGAGAAAAAGTAGGAAAAGAGAAGAATATTTAGGGTTATGATAACTGTTTTAGGGTTGAGTACTTGGGTTACTGTTCTGAGATCCAGATCCTAAGTTTTCTTGCCAAACCAACAGAGTAAATCTATAGAACCCAATAAAAATTCCAAAAAAAGATTGGATTTTGAAACCAATTATTATTGGGCTTTTTAGGTTATAGAGATTTGGGGATGAATAGATCGACTGTGAATTTTCTTTCCAGCCAAGCATAGTAAATCTGTGGAAGCACAAAAAGATTTACCAAAAAAGATAAGATTTTGAAACCAATTTTTGTGGGTTTTTTTGGTTACAGGGATTTGGGGATGAATAGGTCAATTGTAAATGAGAATCGGAAGGCCTCAACATCGTCTTCGCCGGAGAAGGAAGATCGGTATTACACGACGAGGGGGTCAGTGGGATTGGATGACAATGGGAAGCTGTTTATGGAGGCAAGAGATGAAAATAGAGGGATTGTTTGGCCTAAACTATACATCTCTTTGTCAAGTAAAGAAAAGGAGGAAGATTTCATGGCGATGAAAGGGTGTAAGTTACCACAGAGGCCTAAGAAAAGGGCCAAATTGATCCAAAGAAGCTTACTTGTAAGTCTTTCTATCATAAATTGTTGAAAATTTCTGAAACAATTTTGGATCTTGTGAAAAGTGTGTGTGTTTGTGTTTTTTTTTTGGGTATGAAAAACAAACTTGTATTCTACATGCGCAGTTGGTGAGTCCAGGGGCATGGCTATCTGATCTATGCCAAGAGAGGTATGAAGTGAGGGAGAAGAAGGCTTCTAAGAAGGTACTATATATGTGTGTGTGTGTGTGTGTGTGTGTGTGTGTGTGTGTGTGTGTGTAGATCTCCAGATTGATTATTTACACACATATGTGATGCAGATATAGATATAGATTTTGTTGAAAAAGGGTTTTTTGTGTTTTGAATGTTTTGTGATGCAGAGACCTAGGGGATTGAAAGCCATGGGAAGCATCGAAAGTGATTCAGAATGAGTCATGGAAAGAGAGAGGCGGAGGCAACAGGAAGATTTGAATTTTTTTGGTAGTTGGATAATGTTTTTTTTTTTTGGGTAGTTGAAAAAAAAAAAAGAAAAAAAAAAGTGTAGTGGGTGTGTTTTTGTTGGACTTTTGAAAAAAATTGTTGTTATCCTGTTCTAATCTAATCTTTTTGGGGGAAAACCCAAGTTTCTTCCTCCCTTGTCTACGCACACGCACACAGTTCTCTCTTTTTCTTTTGATACTTTTCTTCGTCATGTTTTCTTCTCTTTGTTCTTTAATTTCATTTCACGGGTCCCCTAATAATGTTGTATACTTATTGGCATGGATTTCAGATTTTGGGTTTTTTGGAATACATTTTGTATGGAGCGAGAGAGACCTCTTATCACGTTAAAACTCTTGACCACCATTTTATATTTGCTTTAAATTGTCTTTAACATTATGCTTGAACGTGTCATATTGTCTTGTCGCCAATATATATATATATACTCAGGTGTGTGTGTGTGTCTATATTTATATGTGTGTGTGTGGGTAAATTTCACTTACAACCATGGCTAGGGGTGGCAAGTTACAATATAATACGGACACGACACGAGTTAAAAGAGTTTGGATTTGACATAAACGGGTTTGGATCATAAAAGAGTAGACAAGATTAATTTATTTACTTAATCGTGTCGGTTTGAGGGTTTGAACTTGTGTAATCCTGTAACTCAGCATGTTACAATTGTAAATATGACTTATATAATATGTTATATATTTAATCGTGTCGGATTAGGGTTGAGGGGTTGAACTTGTGTAATTCATGTAACTCAACATGTTATAATTGTAAATATAACTTATATAATATGTTATATATTTAAATCTAATTATTATAAATAATTAAGTTATTTCAACATAAACTTCTTATGATTTTTCTATTAGTTAGTAGTTGATTAAATATTAAATGTGTCGTTTTGATAAATAAGTCATTAAACGAGTTAACATATTTACTTATTTATTAAACGGGTTGAGTTAGTGTTGAGGGTTCTTGACATGATTATTAAATGGGTTGGGTTTGGGTTTACCTAATATAATACTCTTACATCGACACAACACGATTATGACTCACGAACACAAATTGCCACCCCTACCCCTGACCTTTGATCATAGATCATATTCAACTTACACCACTCTAGGTTTCAATATTTCTCTTACACCCCCTTGTATGTAATCGGAGTATTTTTATTTTTTTTTAAGTTTTGCCCTCAATTATATATTAATATTCATAAATAATGAATATTAATATATTTTAATTGGTCAATTATGCAACAAATAAGGAAGTGAAATCATTCATTTAGTTGTATTTATTATAAATAGTCAATTAAAAATTATTCGGTTGGACAATTCACTGTAAGTGTTCGATATGAGTATCACTACTCTTAATGAAATTTGTGTGATTTTAAAGTTTTGCCCTCAATTATATATTAATATTCATAATAAATTGTATATGAAACTAAAAGACAAAACTACCCTTTAATTTTCTATTACCGAACTGCCCATATCTGTACTAGAGAGCAAGTTCTTCAAACCACCAAATAGAGACCAAAAATTTAAAAATTCAGCCATCCACCAAACGGTGAATTTGCCTTCTTTGAGTTGTATCCGGCGGCGTAGATGCACACGAATGACGGCGGATCGATCGGAACTGGTCTTCGAATTAGCAAACAAGAATTTCGGTGGTGGTGAGGCTTAGTGACTATTCTGGTGGTGGGTTTGTTGGCAGAGGCCAACCACACGCTGCCGTGAAAGGATTGCAGTGAGTAGACGAAACTACGACGTACTCGGATGATTGGAGAGCTTGCCGGAAGTGTTAATGAAGAGGATGGTGGCTGATGCCGACGATGAGCAATGGAACAATGAGGAAACGAGTCTGGATTACTCAGTGAGCAAGCGCCAGTTTCAGTGAGCTTTCGACGAAGGAGATTCGGCGATGACAAACAATGACTATAAGAGTTGCGATTCCGGTGATGGGCAAGAAAGAAAGAACCTACAGCGAGCAATGATGGTGTTACAAAGGTGAAGGTGCTGTTTTGTAATTCCTCATTAGTCAATGAGGTTAAAGATGTCATTTCAGGTACTGAAAGAGTAAAATTGACCTTCTATCTAATTTTTCTTGCTGACCTTAACACTTACCTGTTGGTTAATTGCAAGGGGTAACTTGCTACCTAAATAAAAAAGTCAAGAAACCTAGAGGGGGTGTAAGTGGGATATAGTCAAAGGTCAGGGGGTGGAGGTGAAATTTACCCTATATATAATTGGTATACATATAATTAAATATACAAGTTTGTGACTCTATAAAACAAACCAATGCAGTGATAAGACGGTCGAATTGCCCCTCCTGGAACTCACAACTATTACCGGAGTGGGCATATCCCAACAGACATTGATCATTGGGTAAAGTGCAATAAACCTCCCTCAAATATGCCTTAATTAACAAGAAATACCCTTGGACTACAAAAGTGGCAGACCTAAACTAACCACTTTAGTTGCAAATTGCCCAGTCCGGCCATCTTCCGTTCATATATTACCCATAAATGAACACGTGATTGTCACATAAGAGACAATATAAAATTAATTGACTATAATATCCTTAGGAATATAAAAATATTATAATGCCCACATATCTCAACCCTTACCAGTAAACAGTGTCTTTTCCTCAGATCATCTCAAACACATGATCGAACCCTAACCCAATTTTAAAAAAAATCCAAATTCAAATGGGTTGAACATGCTATGTGGTTGAGTGTGAATTATTTGAGTTTCCAAGATTGTGGTTCGATTGGGTGATTTAATTCGGTGGTGGGAATGGTAGGGTGGTGGCGATGATGGTGTTGGTGGCAGTGGGGTTTTGGGGTTCAATTGGGTTTATAATATATGGATGGTTAGGTGTGGATTGTGATTAATTACTTGAGTTTCCAAGATCGTGGTTCGATTGGTGGTTTAATTCAGTTTAATTCAGTGGTGAGTGGTAGGAGTGGTGGCAACGATGGTGTTAGCGGCAGTGGGGTTCAATTTGTTAGGAATTATGTCTCAAATTCCCATTATTATTAGTTTCTATTTTAAAGTGTATTTTTATGGTAATTTCTTATAGAGACGTGAATTGTATTCTAAGAAATTGTAATCCTTGTCCACAAAGGAATTAGGTATATGACTCTATAAATAGGCACTTAGGCTATTGTTGAGAGTTATGAGTTGAGAGAGATGTAGCCTCATGAGGGAGTACGATGATGGTAGGGGTGAGTTACGGGTTTGGTAGAGTGAACACTGATGGCGAAAAGGAGTCTCGTGGCGTACACAGAAAACTCGGTCAAGAGTTTGTGTGCATGGTTCGGTGTTGAAATTCTCTACTATTGTAATATCTCTACATATATAATAAATCTCTTTTCATCCGTGGATGTAACCCTGATTTTGGGTGAACCACGTATATATCTTGTGTTGTGATTTGAATTATTATTTTCTTTCTTCCTTTTGCTTCCGTTGTGCCCCAACAACTGGTATCAGAGCCAAAAGTGAAGGAGATCCAGAAAACACAAGAAGTCTCAACATGTGCTACAACGGGCTTCAGTTGTAGGTGGAGTCAATCGGCTTGGTTACATGGCATGGAGCTTGAGTAGTCAAGGTGGAGCCTTGGGGTTTGACTGATTGAGCAACGTATAGTGAGAGGATAATCCGAGTTCTACAATAAGATCGAGAAGATTGAAGTTGCAGAGAATTATCCAGATTCAATTGCCATAAGAGGCGATGATTGACGTAATGGCATTTAAGCCAAGGTGGAGATTGTTAGGAATTATGTCTCAAATTCCCATTATTATTAGTTTCTATTTTAGAGTGTATTTTTTATGGTAATTTCTTATAGAGACGTTAATTATGCTCTAAGAAATTGTAATCCTTGTCCACAAAGGAATTGGGTATGTGACTCTATAAATAGGCACTTAGGCTATTGTTGAGAGTTATGAGTTGAGAGAGATGTAGCCTCATGAGGGAGTACGATGATGGTAGGGGTGAGTTACGGGTTTGCTAGAGTGAACACTGATGGCGAGAGAGAGTCTCGTGGCGTACACAGAGAACTCGGTCAAGAGTTTATGTGCATGGTTCGGTGTTGAAATTCTCTACTATTGTAATATCTCTACATATATAATAAATCTCTTCTCATCCGTGGATGTAACTCTGATTTTGAGTGAATCACGTATATATCTTGTGTTGTGGTTTGAATTATTGTTTTCTTTTTTTCTTTTGCTCCGCTGCGCCCCAACACAATTGGGTTTATAATGTATGAATAGTTTGGTGTGATTTAGGGTTGTGGGAGTTCAATTGGGTTTATAATGTATGGATGGTTTATGTGTGGTTTCTGATTAATTACTTGAGTTTCCAATATTGTGGTTCGATTTCGGTGATGGAAGTGCAGTGGTGGCGGTGATTAACCAAACTTGGAAGTCGGAGAGAGCATAAATAATTCCCGCATCTCAGTTTGCAAATATAGTGATGAACACATTCTCTTTAACATTGAACGCCCAAGATTAAATGTAAACTCACATCGCGTACCTATCAAAAACACGCGGCCGCTCAGCTTTGCCGTCACCAATTGCCTTAGAGAGACGACGATCTGGGCGGAGACGGTAAGAGGCTCCGTGTAAACTTCTTTTAGAGAAAGAAAAATGTTGTTTCTTCTGCAACTATATATATACATATATATATATATATATTGGTCTCTGTTATTAACCAGAGAGTTATTTTACAACACCAATACCTATCAATCTGGATCAGTAAGCCTACAACACCAATAGCGATGAAATCATCACCAAGGTGACTGTGTTCAGACATGGAGGATACTAAAATTTAATCATGTTGAAGAGTGGCGATTTTTTTCTTTTTTTTTTTTTTTTTTTTTTTTTTTTTTTTTTTTTTTAATCTGCTGTGAAGAGGAAGTGATATGGCAATAGTGTCTTTTTTTATTTAAGGGTAAAATTATCTTTCTACACTTCCGGCAACAGCATCTAATCGGATTGGGTAATTTGCAACAATTCAATAGTTCAAGGGAGTTTGTTGTAGTTCAAGGGGGGTTATGTGCAAATGGGGCATACTTCAAGGGGTTTTTTTGCACTTTACCCTTGATCATTTGATTGTCCCACCCTAAACTCATAACGCCATTCGTTGCGG